CAACAGGGACTGCGACTAGACAGGCAGTGGACCCTCTACTGGAGGAGAAAGACCAAGAACCTGCAGCAGGAGCGGAACGAAGTACGACCGAGGCCGCGCGGCAGCTCCAGACGCAGCAGGGACAGCACCAGCACCCTCAGCGACAGCACCAGCGCCACCAACACCTCCAGTGGCAGGACCAACAGCAGTAGTCTCAGCACCAACACCCTCAGCAGCTCCAGCTCCAGGAGGACCCGCAGGCCCAGCAGCTCCGGGACCGGCAGCACCAGCACCCTCGACGGTCGAAGAAGCTCCAGCTCCAGCTCCATCAGCACCCCCAGACTCAGCAGCACGCCTCCAGCGGCGAGCGAACCACTCGCGCAGCTCCTGTGGAGAGAGGGGCTCCCGGCGAGGCGCAGTAGCAGGAGAAACCCCAGGCTCAGCAGCTCCAGACGCAGCACCCCCAGGCTCAGCAGCTCCCAGCTCAGCACCCCCAGGCTCAGCAGCTCCCGACCCAGCACCCCCAGACCCAGCACCTCCAGGCACAGCACCCCCCTGCTCAGCACCCCAAGGCTCCGTACCCTCCGCAGTAGCACCCCCAGGCCCAGCACCCCCAGTAGTAGCACCCCCAGGCTCAGCACCCCCGCGCACAGCACCCCCAGAGTCAGCACCCCCAGGCTCAGCACCCGCAGCAGCACCAGAGTCACCAGTAACCTCGACCGGGTCAACGGCGTCTACCTGGGACACACCTGAGGGGGCAGGAACCTGAGGGGGGAGGGGGTCTACCGGGGGGGGGACCGGCACAAGGAAGTCCGGGGGAGGGGGGAGGGAAGGAGTGCGGTAGGGGAAGAGACGGTAGAAGGGGACTGACTCGTCGAACGTGACGTCCTGGGAGGACAGAACACGACGAGAGGAGGGGTGGTAGAACTGCCACCCTGGAGCGTCAGGGGGGAAGCCAAGGAAGACACAGGGAGCAGCACGGGGGGACAGCTTGTCCGCAGACAAGTCGCGGACAAACGCCCGAGATCCCCAGACACGGAACGCAGACGCATCGCCGACCTTCCCCGTCCACAGTAACACTGGGGACATCGCGGGCCGAGAGACCCTGGGGTGAAGGTTGAGCTGATGCGCCGCGTACCTCACCGCAAACGGCCACAGAAAATGGGGGGCAGCCGCATGCATCATGGACGTACGAGCGACATCCATGACCATGCCAATGCGGCGCTCAGCAATCCCATTTTGCTGTGGTGAGTCCGGAAGCGTGAAGGTCTGGCGGATCCCCCGTGCACGACAGTAGTCTCGCAGAAGGCGAGAGGAGAACTCTCCGCCTCTGTCCGAGTGCAGACGCAGAACAGGAAAGTCCGAGTCGAAGCTCTTCCTGAGCTGGAGACGAGCCTCGCGGATCCAGTCGATCAGCACCTCAGTGACCGCACCCTTGCTGCGCAAGGGGAGGACTGTGGTGTAACGCGAGTAGTCGTCAACCACCAACAGGAAGTAGCGCTCGTAGCCCTGCCCACGGACGGGGGCTGGGCCCCACACATCCATGTGAAGCGTCTGCAGGGGAGCCTCTGTCGGGGGGAAGTGGGAGGAGTGAGGAGTAGCCCGGAGGCGACCCTCGACACAGGGGACACAGGAAGGTCCTGGCCCGGAGGGGAGAGGAGGGAGAGACTGGGGGAGACCAGAGACAAGGACACGGGAAGCCATGCTCCGAAGACGGGGCAAGGAGGGGTGGCCAAGACGGTGGTGCCACAGGAGAGTCTCGTGAGACAGGAGACGACAGGAACAGGGGGCAGACTCAGGACCTGACCGGGACGCAGCAGCAAACACCTGACCTGACGCAGCTACCTGACCAGACGCAGGGACAGGAGGAGACGAAGTGGTCAGGGTGTAGAGACTCGACCCCGGCCGACGCGAGAAGGTGGCCAGGTGTCGGCCTGTGCGTGCGTCCGTGCAGTGGGTCACCCGCTGACTCGCAGGAGTGAACTGGTGAACCCCCGCATCCTGCAGGGCTGCACCACTCACCAAGTTCGTAGAGAACGAGGGAAGGTACAGACCAGAGAGGGTGCCCGAAGGGGCAGCCGGACACGGGAGGACAGTGGAGAAGTGAGAGAGGACAGGACCCCCAGAGGGGTCAGCAAGGGAGACCGCAACCGGCCGGCCAAGCGGCGTAAGGGTAGTGCAGTCTCGAAAGAAGGAGCGAAAAGCCCCTGAGTCAAGTGTGAAAGTGAGGGAGGACGAGGGCGACGCAGTACCTGAGAGCGCAGTCTCACCAGTACCTGAGAGCGCAGACGCACTGGCACCTAGAGCAGCAGCCTCACAAGCACCTAGCGCAGCAGTACCAATGCCCGGGTCGGGCGGGAAACACCGGTAACCCTCATTCTCCTCACTATAAGACACAGCATACATAGCAGCAAGGATAGCATCAAAATCAAGATCAAAGATCGCTACACCAGTCCTAAGAAGCTCATCCCAGCGAGGGATCTCACTAGCCCCGGGGAACTGCTGACGCCAAGCGTCAGTCAGGCGGCCAAAGCAGCGCTGAGTGGAGTGGGCACCCCCACACTGCTCACCCGCGCGGTCGCCGGAACGAAGAACGTAGGTGTAGGGACCAGTACCCCCACCCCTCTGACGCCCAGCGTACCACTCACGAAGCTGCTGAGGCGGAGGGATGTCCCGCGAGCGCTGCTGCTGCTGCCGCTGCGAGCGCTGGCCACCACCACCGCCGCTACGCTGCTGGGTACCACCCCGACCAGCTCCGCCCCCTCCACCACCACCGCCTCCTCCGCTGCCACCGCCACCGCCTCCACCTCCGCCGCCTCCACCTCCGCCGCTGCCACCTCCACCACCGCCGCCACCACCACCACCGTCTCCGCCGCTGCTGCCACCACCACCACCACCACCACCACCACCACCACCACCACTACTCCCGCCGCCACCCCCACTCCCTCCGCCACCTCCTCCGCCACCGCCACCGCCCTCTCCAGCTCCACCCGCGCCCTTGCCCCCCTTGCCCTTGCTAGAGCGACGTCTCCCACTAGGGGCAGACGCCGCGCCGACCGACTCAAGACCAAGCAGGTCGGCAGCAGCAGCAGAGGCAACAGAGGGCAGCAAGGGGGAAGGAGAGCACCCCTCAAAGATGGGGGTGCGAGGGTCACCACGAGAGGCACCTACAGCGACTATGCTCTTCTCCGCTGCGAGGAGGGCCTTCTCGAGGAGGTCGACGGTGAGGGTGGTGGGACAGACTGCGAGAAAGTGGTCCCTGACTACGCGAAGGGAGTCAGGGAGGCGCGCGACTACGTAGTAGAGAGTGATGTACATGGGGGGGGGGGTTCTTAGCGCAGAACTCAGCAGGAAGGGTGGCGCGGTAGCGAGTGTCACTAGTGCGGAGGTGCGTAATTAGGTCAGCGACAGTGGGAAAGGCAGAGAGGTCAGGAAAGAGGTAGGGAAGCATGAGACGGCTCAGTGCAGCAGTGGCAGGGGAGGAGTAGCGCGCAACTACAGCGTCGTACAAGGTGTGAGCACTCTTGTACTGACTAAAGTGCGCACGCTCAGCGGTAGGGAGGTGGCGACGCACAGCAAGACGTGCAGCAGCATCGCGGGTGGCCCACTGAGAGCGGACAGTGGGATCAGCATCAGCAGCAGGAGCAGGAGAGGCGCCAGAGATGAGGTCAAAGAGAGAAAGGCCGTCTGCTCTGTCGCACTGTAAAAACAGCTGCAGGTCGTCTAACCAGACCTCAAAATCAATGGCGCGACCCTCGGCGTCAAAAGCGAGGACACTAGGGGTAGCCATGGCTACGTCAGCTAGGCAGTGCAAGCAGTAGGGGAAGAGCACGCAGTGACAGTGGGACTGTGCTCACCAGGCGGGACAGGTCGTGCAGCTCTGCAGAAAGGCGGCTCGGCGACCGGGCGGCTCGGGTGCACAGCGGCTCGGCTCCCGGGCGGCTCGGCGGCAGGGCGGCTCAGGTGCAGGGCGGCACGGCTCCCGGGCGGCTCGGCGGCAGGGCGGCTCGGGTGCAGGGCGGCTCGACTCCCGGGCGGCTCGGCGACAGGGCGGCTCGGGAGCAGGGCGGCTCGGCTCCTGGGCAGCTCGGCTGCACTGCTGCCTGACTGCTGCAGGTGGGGCGGCGAGGCCGCGTGAGAGAACCGGGGCGGGGCCGCGTCAGAGCCGGCGGGAGGGCCGCGTGAGGGCCGGCGGCGAGGCCGCATGAGAGCCGGGGCGGGGCCGCTACAGAGCTGGCGGCGGGGCCGCACGAGAGCCGGCGGCGGGGCCGCTTGAGAGCCGGGGCACGGGCCGCGTCAGGGCCGGCGGCGGGGCCGCAAGAGAGCCGGGGCAGGGGCCGCGTCAGGGCCGGCGGCGGGGCCGTAAGAGAGCCGGGGCAGGGGCCGCGTCAGGGCCGGCGACGGGGCCGTAAGAGAGCCGGGGCGGGGCCGCGTGAGAGCCGGGGCAGGGGCCGCGTCAGGGCCGGCTGCGGGGCCGTAAGAGAGCCGGGGCGGGGCCGCGTGAGAGCAGGCGGCGGGGCCGCGAAGGAGCCGGGGCGGGGCCGCGTGAGAGAAGGCGGCGGGGCCGCGTAAGGGCCTGGGCGGGGCCGCGACAAAGCCGTCGGCGGGGCCGCGTGAAAGCCGGGGCGGGGCCGCGTAGAAGCCGGGGCGGGGCCGCGCGAGAGCAGGCGGCGGGGCCGCGTAAAGGCCGGGGTGGGGCCGCGATAGAGCCGGCGGCGGGGCCGCGTGAGAGCCGGCGACGGGGCCGCGTAAGGGCCGGCGGCGGGGCCCCGTCAGAGAGGGCGGCGGGGCCGCGTCAGTGAAGGCGGCGGGGCCGCAGGGGAAATGGCGACCCGAGGGGTCGCTAAAAAAAATCGCGCCTCGGGGGGCGCTTCGGTGGGCCCAAAAAAAAACGGTCCTTAGAAGGACCCGCTCTATACCATGTGAGAATAAGCGAACAGGAATGAATGAACTAGAAGTGAAGTGAGTACAAGTAGTAAACCCTAGAATTGTGTACCCCCTATAGGCTAACCCACTGTAGCCTACACAAGCATAACATATATAATGTTTGACAAACGGCGGTGCGATAGAGAGATAATGCGGCATAGCGAGAGATAGATAATGCGGCAGAGTGAGAGAGAGAATGCAGCAGAGCGATAGGGAGAGAGAGTGCGGCAGAGCGAGAGAGAAAGTGTGGCAGATCGAGTGAGAGAGTGCGGCAGAGCGAGAGAGGGAATGCGGCAGAGCGAGAGAGAGAGTGCGGCAGAGCGAGAGAGAGAATGCGGCAGAGCGAGAGAGAGAGAATGCGGCAGAGCGAGAGAGAGAATGCGGCAGAGCGAGAGAGAGAATGCGGCAGAGCTAGAGAGAGAATGCGGCAGAGCTAAAGAGAGAATGCGGCAGAGCGAGAGAGAGAATGCGGCAGAGCGAGAGAGAGAATGCGGCAGAGCGAGAGAGAGAATGCGGCAGAGCGAGAGAGAGAATGCGGCAGAGCGAGAGAGAGAATGCGGCAGAGAGATAGAGCGCGAACGCGGCAGAGCGAAAGAGCGAGAGTGCGGCAGAGCGATAGGGAGAGAGTGTGCGGCAGAGCGAGAGAGAGAGTGTGGCAGAGCGAGAGAGAGAGAGTGCGGCAGAGCGAGAGAGAGAGTGCGGCAGAGCGAGGGAGAGAGGGTGCAGGAGAGCGCTAGAGCGAGAACGCGGCAGCGCGATAGAGCGAGAGTGCGGCATAGCGACAGGGAGAGAGAACGGCGGTGCGATAGAGAGATAATGCGGCATAGCGAGAGATAGATAATGCAGCAGAGCGAGAGAGAGAATGCAGCAGAGCGATAGGGAGAGAGAGTGCGGCAGAGCGAGAGAGAAAGTGTGGCAGATCGAGTGAGAGAGTGCGGCAGAGCGAGAGAGGGAATGCGGCAGAGCGAGAGAGAGAGTGCGGCAGAGCGAGAGAGAGAATGCGACAGAGCGATAGAGCGAGAGAGAGAGAGCGAGAGAGAGAGAGTGAGAGAGAGAGAGAGTGAGAGAGAGAGGGCGAGAGAGAGAGAGAGAGAGAGAGAGAGAGAGAGAGAGAGAGAGAGAGAGAGAGCGAGAGAGAGAGAGAGAGAGAGCGAGAGAGAGAGAGAGCGAGAGAGAGAGAGCAAGGGCGAGAGCGAGATAGAGAGAGAGAGAGAGAGAGAGAGAGAGAGAGAGAGAGAGAGAGAGAGAGAGAGAGAGAGAGAGAGAGAGAGAGAGAGGCATAGACCCCTAGTCCCTTAGCCTCTCAGCCTCTCAGCCGCCCCTAGCTCCGCTATATAAGGCCGTGGGCCTGGTGCTTGTCTCATTATTCATTTCGTGGGTTCATTCCTTCTAACCCAGCGGCTCGTTTGAGAGAGCGAGAGAGAGAGAGAGAGAGAGAGAGAGAGAGAGAGAGAGAGAGAGAGAGAGAGAGAGAGAGAGAGAGAGAGAGAGAGAGAGAGAGAGAGAGAGAGGCATAGACCCCTAGTCCCTTAGCCTCTCAGCCTCTCAGCCGCCCCTAGCTCCGCTATATAAGGCCGTGGGCCTGGTGCTTGTCTCATTATTCATTTCGTGGGTTCATTCCTTCTAACCCAGCGGCTCGCGTCGGCCGCCTTCGGCGGCCGACGCTCGACAGCGCGGCCTTCGGCCGCACGTGAGGGGACGGCAAGGAACACGAACACAACCGAGGTTAAGCATACAGCATACAACCAATGGCGGCATCAACAACATCCTAAGCAGCAATGGCGACACAAGTAGAAGCGGAGCCCGCATCTACATGCGGTGAGCTCCAAGGGCGTGAAGAACGCCCGTCAGGGAGCGCCACAGCTCCCGGACCACAAGCGTGCTTGCGCCGATCGCCGCGGCTCCAGATCCAGCGCGCAAGTGCCGCCTCAGGCCCCGGACAGCTTCGTCGAGCTGTCCCGCAGCAGCAGCGCCTCCCTCCGCGGGCGCAGCCAGCACGGGCGCCAGCAGCACTGCGAGCTGGTCTGCCGCGTCCAAGCAAGGGTCACGCTGGCGAGAAAGGAAGGTCTCAGGAGGAATCACCGGAAGCGACGAATGAGCCAGCACCTGAATCAGCAGCAGAGCATGGAGGCTGTCAGCGAGGCGGTGCAGCTGTCCAAGAGTCGCCTCGGGAACACGGGTCTGCGGAGGCTGCAGTGCCTCCGCCAGGAACTGAAGCGGCTCGTCAGCGCCGGCGAGGAGAGCAAACGGAGCCGATAGCGAGCCTCCGCCCGCGGCCACAAACTCCACGCCAGCAACGGGTGGAAGCGGCGGCAGTTGCAGACGAGAACCAGGAACGGGCGCCGACGCGGCGGGAGCAAGCGCAGGCGGCGACTGAATCGGAGGGGGAGGCGCAGCAACAGGGGGGAGCGCAGCCGGACGGGGAGCCTCGTGGACGGGCGCGGCGCGCAGCGAACTGCTCTGACTCTGCGCCGCCCTCTCCTCCCGAACCGCCCTCGACACTTCACGCTGAAGATCCGCCATCGTCACAGGCGGGCGCAACCCCCCATAGGCGCGGGGACCTCCCCATTCCCCCTGACCCCCGGGGTGAGCAGGCCAGCGGGGGTGTCGCTGGAACCGCCGCGGAGACTCACGGCGGCGACGAGAGGACCGGCGGTCCTGATGGGGAGCAGGAGAATGCGGGCGTGACGAACGACGGTCAGGCGACGGAGGACGTGACGGCTGGCCAGCAGGAACTACCGCCGTCGCAGCAGGGGCGGGCGGTCCCGACGCCGCGGGCGCAACCAACGGAGCCGGCTCGCCAGTGGTGGCGGACACCGCCTTCGGTGACGAAGCAGAAGCATGCGCAGGCGAGCAAGGGACAGAGGCGCTCAGCGCAACAGGGGCGCCAGGGACAGGCGCAGGGGGGTCAGCAACAACCCCAACAGGGGCAGACGTCGACGGCGCGACAAGGGGAACCAGGGGGGCATGTGCTGCAGACTGGGCAACGGGATCCGCGGGTGCGTGGGGAGGAAGCTTTTCAGCGGCTGCTGTCACGAGGGTCGGAGCCGGCGGTAGAGGGGGTTTCATCGCCGTGGTCGCCCTTCCGGCCTCCGCCGGAGGCGTCGCGGCCACAGCCGACCAGGCGACAACGAGCTCTGGCGACGGCTCAGGCGCACCGGCAATCACCCTCCCTGGAGCAGGAAAACCGCGGGGCGAGAAGACAAACCGTAAGCGGAACAGGCGGAGGGCCGGAGAACGGGTATCAGGCGGCGGCACGAAGGGCTTTAAGTAACGCGGAGAAAAATAATGAAGAAGACAAGCGGGACGACCCCACTTATATGGAAGAAGCACTCCCCGAGAGCGAGGAGGAGGAGACGGAGGGGGAAGGCATGGCGAGAGAAGGACCAAGGAGAAGGGAAGAGGTAGTGCAGCAGCCAGTGGTGCAAGTGTCACAGATGGGTTTGCCGCCATCCGACGCCGATCGGACGGGTGTGAATCCAACCTCAAACCCACCAATGAGAGCGAGCCGCGATGGGAGAAATCGAGCCGCCAATGCCAGTCCGGCACTGCACCTACAGGCGTCAATTCCCCGCTACTTTTCACCCGATGAGCTAGCGAAGCGGACAGACCTGTTCGCGGCCATCGCGAACTGGGACTTGGCAGGACTATGCGATAGTCGTCAGCCCCCACTTTCGCGGCGTTTACCGCCAAATCTGTGCCAGCTGTTTTCGCTAGCGCTACTGACACCGTTACACCACCTATCACGAAACCCCGATTCGGAAACGGGATGGCGACTGCTGTTGTTTCTCCCGCGACTAACACTTCGCCAAACCTCGCCTGCACGCCCGAACTGGCCATGCGTCAAGAGTCGGCTCCGAGCCTTCCAGCGTGGCGAATGGGATCAGCTGTACCAAGACGCGTTGACCGCAGTCAACACACCGCCCCCGCCAAGACATCAGCCAGATGCGACTGGTGTCATCAGCCGCGCAGAGAGCCTAGCAAAACGTGGGAGTCTGCGCCGAGCCGTGTTGGCCCTCGAGTCAACGCCCGTCTGCACGCCCAGTCCGGAAATATTGGAGGAGCTGCGACAGAAGCACCCACGTGCTGAAGACGAGGCAGTGACGTGGCCCGAAACACAGGGGTCAAAATTGTCAATCCCCCACGCTGACTTCGCTAAAATGTTGGCGAGGTGCGAGAATGGGGTTGGTGCCGGACCTTCAGGGATGACGTTCGAGCACCTACGCGATGCGGCGATCACGAACGGAATGGTCAGCACCCATCTCCACGCCTTGGTCAACACTGTGTTGGGAGGCAAATTGCCAGGCCCGGTAGCGAACCTGCTGACGGCATCACGACTCATCGCCCTCGCCAAGCCGGGGGGAGGGGCTAGGCCTATCGCCATCGGCGAATGCCTAACCAGGCTGGCAGCCAAGGCTGCCCTGTTAATCATGGGAGACCCGGTCCGCGAATTTTTCTTACCCCTACAGTACGGGGTAGCAGTTCCAGGTGGGGCGGAGGCAGTAATCCACGCAGCCAGGGCTTTTTCGGATGCCCGCCCGGACAGCCTGGTACTACAAGCCGACATTACAAACGCGTTCAACAGCATTTCGCGTTCCGCCATCGCCAACGCGTTACAAGAGCCCACCCTCTCGCCACTGCTGCCGCTCGTGCAACTGACATACGGTAACCCGTCGCAGCTACTACTGGACTCCAATTTCAACAGCGCACCACTGACAAGCGAACGCGGCGTACGCCAGGGAGACCCACTGGGGCCACTTCTATTTGCAGCAGGGATACACGCTACACTTCGAGAAACTGCCGACGCACACCCGGACGTGCTGTGCCTCGCATATGCTGACGATGTCACCTTCCTGGGTGACACAGACCGCACTGTAGCTGCATTCACATGCTTCACGACAAAATTGGCGCGCCTGGGCCTCGAACACAACCCACAGAAGTGTAGTGCCTGGAGCTCCTGCGCAATTGACTCATCCTGCCTTCCGCCAGGAGTGCCGTTCTCTAAAGGTGGCATGAAACTACTGGGTAGCTTCGTGGGGCCAAACAGCGGCGCAGCTCGGTTCCTGGCGGGTCAGCTCGCCGAGATGGCGAAACCCTTACCCCTGCTCGAGCGAACGGACCCCCAGGTCGCAGCGCTGCTACTTACGCGATGCATATCGCGACGAGTTGCATATCTCACCAGGACGACCCCACTGCACCTTCTCCCTCGTGACACATGGAGCCAGTGGGGTAGGGATCTGCTCGCCACGCTCCTCACAGCTTGCGATATCCGTGTTCCCACGTGTCGAACCGAACAGTCACGGGTCTGGGAGCAAGCATCACTGCCGCCATCCTTGGGAGGGCTGGGCATCACCGACCCCCTAGTCGAAGGGATCTATGGTTTCGCAGCCAGTTTTACGCAGGCGGCATTGTACCTCGGGTGTTTACCGCTGGAAGAAGATACCGCCCTCACCCTGGCACGGAATCATATGCTACTGCCACGGGCTGACAGCACACCGCTACACGAATGGCTGAAGGAGTGTGAGGAGGCACTGCCGCAGGATGCACGGGAGATACTCGAGACGGAGCGGCTCAAACGTTCCGACATCCGGCTCCAACACGTGCTTGGACTCAAGGTCCACGGAAGCAGATACGCAAAGCAGGTGCAGGCGACGAGGCGCATGAAGCCGAATCCGCTTGCGGGGCACACACAGAGGATGTTTTCAATGACGGGCTACGGCACAGGCGACTGGCTCACCGCGATCCCCATTGCCCCTGCTAGGCGGATAGGGCCGGTACACTTCGCAAATGCGGTTCGTTTCCGACTCGGCCTACCGTTTTCGACCCCCAAAAACTGTGACTGCGCTGACCACACGGCTATCACAGACCCCCGCCTTCCGAACCACCTGCTCCGCTGCGGCACAGGCAAGCACCGCACGAACACGCACAACGAGCTAAGAGATGCCTGCGTCAGCATGGCGCAAGACGCAGGGTTTATAGTGCACAGAGAGTCGGCCGCCTACTGCCCCATCGAGGAGCAAACCGCCGACTTCACTATGACCGACAGAAGCAGTGGGGCGGTTTACATCTGCGATGTAACCATCACTGACCCCATCAGCACCAGGGACCCAGAGGCACAGAAGGGCAGGGGGTGGGCGGCGCGTGAGCAAGCGGACAAGAAAATAAAACATTACGCCAACCGCCCAGAGACGATAGGCTTCTTCCCACTGGCGGTAGACACCTACGGCTGCCCATGTGCCGAGGTCCCGGTCTTCCTCAAGCTCCTGGCAGACACAGCGGCTCGGCGCCACTTCAACGCCGACTCAAAATCCTTCAATGCCGCCAAGTTTCTGCATCAATTCAGACAGAGGTGGTCTGTGGCCCTCCAGAGGGCTCAGTCAGTGGGACTCTTGATCAAATTGGGGGAGGCTGCAGCAGCTGAGAACCCACCTGTTGGAGGCATAGGGCAGGAGATGCACCTTGGGGACTGCTTTGCGGTGGTCGAGCCTTTGCTGGAGCTCTAGAGTGTGTGACGG